GGTGAGGGGGGTCCCTGCGGGGCTGGGCGGTGTGTGTGTGTGGGGGGGAATTCCTGTAGCGAAAATGGGGTTACCGAGGGCTGAATCTCTCCCTTACTTGTTCTTTTTTCTCAGAAACCTGCTCCTGCCAAAGCAGAGCCGAAACCAAAAAAGTTAGCGGCAAAGGTGAGAGTCACTGGGAGGGAAGGAGGGAGGGAGAGGAGGTGACGGAGGTCTGTGCCGGGTGTCTGGATGCTTTTAATCACCTCCACGTGTTCCTTGTGGAAACGCTCATTTAGCCGAGGTATCATTTTCAGATGCTTCCGCCAGTCCACCACCGCCGTTTGAGTAGACCCTCATTGAGTAGACACTCGAAATAATGCCTGGAAACGCGGGCACTGACTCGTGGGTGTTAGATGGTAGTTTGGTACTGAGCAGAACTACTTGAATGTTGAAGCAACTGCACGTAGGATTGTATTTCATCACCCTAACAAAAGAGGATAAAATATGCTCACAATTTAAAGCAGTGTGTTAAGACAGGAAAAAAAGTATGAATTACTTAGGTAGCCACTGAAAAAGACCTGAGTTTCAATTCGTGTAGTCTGGCTTTCAGCTCTTTGAGTGTTTGTGTAAGTAAGCGTGGTTTAGTATGATCCAATTTTTCAGTATAGTCTCTCTGGACCAGTGACTAAGAAGTAAAATTGCTTGTTTCTTGGGAGAAGTAAAAGAGTCTGCTTATCTGTTGGCTTACTGGTATATGTGTTTTTAAGTGTTCCTTTATGATTATAAGCTTTTCCTGTTAATGTGTCGATTAAGAGCATTTCAGATACACTAATATAGAACTCTGCTTTGCAGTCTTTTTGATATTTTAATTTTATTAATCCTGCCGAACAGTTACTTACCAGTAATGCACCTTCATTCCAATGGTTTGAATATTAGTGGATTCCCATTCTCGTAGTTGTAAGCCTAAAGATTTGGGGAAGCTTTCCAATTTTACTTCAGTTCCGATTGTCTTTTTTCCAGTGTTTTTGTGTGATGCGTCTAATTCTTAGTGCTGCTAGTTGATGCTGACTGATAACACATGATAGCACTGACTTGCTGCCCATAACTACTTTACTTCTAGGAAGAAACATTTCCACAGTTCATAAGTGGGAACATATTCATGTAAATCAAGTACATCACGAACAATTGTTATCTTAGAATATTAAGAACACCTTGCACGAGGCCCCCATGGAATGCTGCTGTAATGTGAATAAGTGAACAATCTTTTTTTTTTTTAAATTGCCATAACCACTGGCAGTTCAAATAGATGTATAACTTGTTTTACATTTGATCCTCTTTGTTCTAAAACTTATGCTGTCACTAAAATCTTTCGTCATGCATAAACTTTTTCATTGTTAACGTAAAAGTCTCTTTTGTTCTGATTA